TAGTGACAGGCAAATCGGGAACTGAATGTCAAAAACCATATGTTACACATCTGTGCCCAGGGCCAGCCGCAGGTGAGAGTTGGCAAGTTCGCACCTATTTGACCAAGAGCTGCCTAAATTGAGGCGGGCGATAGCAAACCATTGGGTACCGACAGGCGCCTTCTCACGGTCAGAGAAAGTGCGTGGAGCTCGTGCTTTGAGTCAATCGAACTGCCGGCTTAGAACCCGTTAAGTTGTTGTCTCCTATGGTCAGGTCTTAAAGGAAGAGGAGCTTCGACCTCCATAACTTCCAACCATTAACCTATCTGAATTGAGTGGCTCTGAAGACACTTGGAAAATGACACACGGCGTAACTCAATGGGTCACGGAGGTAGGCAAACCAGCCCACCAAGTTAAGGTCAGTCACGTGGCGATGAGAAGCCGGAGATGAGGAATGTGCATAATTCTGAGACGAATTTGGATCCACGCCACTGAAGTTGTACAATCAGGTCGCATGAAGATTCTGTGAGAAAACAGGCGGCGTGTAATCAGCACTCGAGAATCGGGCGCACATGTAAACAGGAGTCTGTAGGACTCTAAGGATAACAGGTAGAAAGGCCTGGAAATGATATGGAACATAACACTTCAAGTAGCGACCCAACGAAGATGTTCTGTGATGATGTTACATAAAAAGACGAAAGTATGCCACGATCTTTTGTATGAGATTTATGAGCAGAAAGCCAACAGTATGATGGGCATCAACTGGTTCAGAAGAGTCGATTGGAAGAAAAAGGCACCAGCAGTATGTCTGAACATCGTAAAGACGTTTCGCTGTTAAGCGAACACCAAAAGTTGCATGTGGGTTGAGTATACAGGGAGGTCGCACGCATCTATGCGGATTCGAACCGGTGACCTACGGAATACAGGACAAGCTCGTGATGCTTGCAGTCCCCGACCGAGAATTAATCGAGGTTTATAGGCAACCGCCACTTGATTGACGAATCGTGTGGTTGGTCGGGTTTGCTTACCATGTGCTGGGGCATCAAGTTATTCGTACTACGGATATATGCCTTCACCGGAGGTACAATCTTCAATATTACGAAAATCAGCATTGGTGCTGAAGTATTAGAAACCACCCCGCTTCTGCTACCATGGGAGTGTGATGTCGACTGACCAGCAGCTTCACAGTGAGCTACGTATCCGCGTCTTGAAGGCAGCGGCGGCATTCAGGAAGCTAGAGTTCCGAGTGTGGAACAACCATCAGCTAACCGTTGGCACGAAGCTGATGGTATACAAATCCATGGTGCTGTCCGTTATTCTCTACGACAGCGAAGCGTGGACGATGTACCGGCAAGAGGTGAAATATCTCGAGCGGTTTAAGCAACAGTTTTTACGACGGATTCTGCGCATCGGTTAGTGCGACAGACCTGCGGACACCGAAGTATTGCGCCGAAGTGGGATGTATGCAGCGGACTGCATACTTTTGCTGAGACATCTGAGGTGGCTCAGTCATCTGTAGCGTATGGATTCGACGCGGATACCGAAACAACTATTATATGGTCAGCTGAGTAGTGGGAAGCCGCATGCGGGGAAACCAAAGTTACGTTACCAGAACATGATCAAAATGAGCCTCTCACGTTCTAATCTTGATTTCAGATCATGGGAATGGAAAGCCGTTGATCGGCGTGCATGGCGCAATCTGATCACGTAGGCCGTTGCCGAGGTGCAAGAGAAAGCCCTCGTGCATGCAGAGAAGAAGCGGCAAGCACCGATGCGTTGCACTCCAACGACATCGAGCGCATGGTGCTGTGGCACATGCGGTCGGGAGTGCCTGAGTCAGACAAGCCTAGTGAACCATGAGCAAGGCAACTCGGGACCACCACCGAAGCGACGACGAGTCCTGCAGAGAACGTAGGCAGAACCGCCGCAGCGTTTGTAGGTACGCTGCATTCGAGTGACTGACCGCGTGCTTGCATGCTAAGTCTCTTTATTTCAGTTGGTTGGTTTACAATTTTATCTTCATGATTTTTCTTCTCATATTAATATTCACATGAACTAACTTCTATGAGTCTGCACACGTCCCTTAATCCAACTGCAGTTAACTTGGGTAACATTTTTGCGTTTGCGGTATTTCCTTAAAATACATCTTCTGACCCCTTGAACTTATCGCGGATACGTTCGTAAACAATATTTGCTACGCCTATTTAGTGAATAGCTATGTCCGTATCTGTATGCATTATCCGATATAAAACACTCAGTCGCCTTCAACCACTTCATTAACGCAGTAATAAGACACAGCTTGCGAGATGTTAACATTGCGATTGGTCTCGTCAGTCGCTACGCAATACAGGCAGAACAAAACATGCAATAAATACAATCCACACTTAGTAACATAGATAAGCAGATAAAATTGATGTGAATGACGCAGTCAGGTCCAAGGCAATCCAACTGATTGCCTCAGTTGTTTCTGGGCACAGAGCGTGGGACAATTCAACCTTATCAGTAGCGCCTCGTCAATTGCCAACAACGTCGGATTCCTACTGCGCAATAGCACCTTGAATAAATCGAATGGGTTCACCTGGTGACGAGTCATCATTAGATATTTGGTGATAGACGAGGTAGGGTTTCAGTTCATTCTTTGCTCCGCTCCGCGTTGGTGAGACAGCAACTGCTTTAGCCACAATGGAATGGGTTCCGCCACCCTCTGAGCCAGCCGACGACCAGTCTTGTCTATGTATGTCTCATCGCAACTACAAGTGAACTGGTAGATGATGTTAGAGGCCAAACTGATTGGCGAGCTACTCGGACGGCTGTGAAGAGGAACCCTTCGTGTAGTGTGTATAATTCATAGTTGGGCGGTAGAGTAGGTGCGCATTAAAGCGGACCTGAGATTGTGACCAACTTCATTTGCTACATGATCGCCCTTGAACGGCAAGAACAAACAAACATCCCTCTTCGCCGTTGTTTGTACTGGCAGCTTCTTGGGGCTTTGCTATGGGTCTGAATGAATTTCTCCGGATACCCATTGGATAGCAGAGTCCGGTATAAAAACTCTTCTTCAGCGTTGAGCAATTCCGGACTGCAAATGAGATTGGCCCTGTAGAAAAGATTTTACGAGGCCGCGTTTGCATGCAACTGGGGCGAAGTTGGAAAAATGTAGGTATTGTCGCCCCAATTTCGCCTTTCTGTACACAGTGCGCTGCAGTGTGCCATCGGTCCTTCACTTGATCAGCATGTCCAGAAACGGAAGTCTGTCCTCTTGTTCCCTCTGCTGTGATACAGAAAGGTTAGGGGGAACTGAGTTCAGGATGGCAGAAAGACGGTAAAAAGGTTCACCAGCTGTGAAGAAGAGAATATCAGTTACATAACGCTTGTAAAGCTTGGCTTCACCTATGCAGGCAGCAACACTCCTCTCAATCACACCCAAGATATCTGTCAGAACTGGTCCCAAAGGACTACCCACAGCAACGCTGTCGATCTGTTTGTATGCCATCACTTCAAACTGGAAGCTCGCATTCTCAGTGTACAACAATATCAAGTGTTGTAGATACTCCAGAGGAAAGCCCACAGAGAGGTTCCGACTCAAAAGAAATTGGCATAGGTCGTCGACCGTTTCACGTAGGTGCACATTCGTGAAAAGCGATTCCACGTGTATGGAATACATGAGCTCCGCGTAAAGCGTTATCCACACTACACGAAGGGTTCCTCTTCACAGCCGTCCGAGTAGCTCGCCAATCAGTTTGGCCTCTAACATCATCTACCAGTTCACTTGTAGTTGCGATGAGACATACATAGACAAGACCGGTCGCCGGCTGGCTCAGAGGGTGGCGGAACCCATTCCATTGTGGCTAAAGCAGTTGCTGTCTCACCAACGCGGAGCGGAGCAAAGAATGAACTGGAACCCTACCTCGTCTATCACCAAATATCTAATGACGACTCGTCACCAGGTGAACCCATTCGATTTGTTCAAGGTGCTATTGCGCAACAGGAATCCGACGTCGTTGGCAATTGACGAGGCGCTACTGATAGGGTTGAATTGTCCCACCCTCTGTGCCCAGAAACAACTGAGGCAATCAATTGGATTGCCTTAGACCTGATTACGTCATTCACATCTAAGTGTGGATTGTATTTATTGCATGTTTTGTTCTGCTTGTATTGCGTAGCGACTGACGAGACCAATCGAAATGTTAATTATCCGATTTATTTTCTTTCATCTTGTCGTTGGCTGTTATTTGATATCCTCGGTGTGGCTGTGCTTGATGTGATGTCTATCACCCACTACCTCATCCATACTGGCTCTAGGAGACAGCTGGTCGTTGCTGGAAAGGATGGGGTGCACGGTTCTTGTGGCCGTGTTAGGATCAAAGAGTGGTTCCATGAACTCAGTGTGGAGCGGACTACGGTCCAGCCACCGCCTTGTGTGCACTTGATTCCCCAAATACAGCGTGCTTGTGTTTGCCTGTGAAGGAGTGTGGGCCGGCTCTGTTGATGAAACGTGGCTTCCATCCACATGCCTCCCGGTGTTATTCCTTCGGGTTTACACCGGATATGGGGTATGTGAATGGAGCTGTGGGCAGTGCAGCGCAGGCCATCCATGGTCCCTCAGCAGGCGCAGTCGTCCTGTGGATGGACACAGTGACAGGTAAATGCGAAATCGGATACCGCCAACCATGTATGTATATAGGCGCACCGAGACCGGGTTGCCAAACGAGGAGAAACGAGCAGCTGAAATCCGGGAAACGCTTGACTGCAGAGAAAGCGGCGGAAATTTGTAGCGAGACAAAAACGTTTCTAAAGTGCAAGAGCAAAGCGCGACCTCTTTTGTAAGATACACTTGAGGCAAGACAAAGAAAACTGTCGTATACAAAATACATAACAAACAAGTCACAAGCGCAAAGTTGTTCAAGAGAAAAATCCGGAAGCATCTCAAGTCGACAAACCGAGAAGCTCTATAAGAGAAGTGCTGAGTCGACAATTCACATAAACAATCAGAGCAACGCAAGAGGATAAATGCGCTAAAATTACTCAGACATACCATTCGGTACACTGAATGCTTCGTGTTGCGGGACGAAGCCATAGTACGGGTCCATCTGAGGTGGAGAATAAACAGGAGGCGGACACGCATAAAATTCTGAAGGCCCGTAATCCTGGAAAGAATAAGGAGGCGGAGGTTGGAAAGTTCGCTTAGCTTCACATGCTCGGCGGCCAAGTTCGATCAGGGCTGTGCCAAATTCTATCGCTCCTCCTCTCTTGAAAGTGATGGAAAATTCGGCTTCACCCTGATAAACCAAACACAAGAGATCACGTGATGAATACTGATGAGGATGTGGTAACAAGAGCCGCAATAGACAATGCGATGGCAGTTTAGTTCGCAAAAAAGTAGTTTAGCGTTACAGTAGACAGTGGTCGAATCTGCCAAGGCATCCTGACGGATGATAATACAACAATTAAAAGTAGCTGGAAAAGAAATTAAACTGCTAACTGAATACAAATTCTTGGAAGATTTTTGGAACCAATAGAGAAGTCATGAGTTCAGAGAGGTTTGGAGACAATCGGTTGGCATAGTAGTTTGGTAACATTTCGTTCTTGACACAAATGTTTCGTCAGACCAGATGAATCAGCGTGCAATTGGAGTGGCATTTTATAGCGAACAGGGACGATAAGTGCATTGGTCAGAAGTTGGCGGGCGAGGGCGCGAGCACAGCAGCTGAGCTCATGACCGTGCTACGTAGAAAAGATGACGAATGAGCGGCCATTTCCGTCTTGTAACACTACACTCCAAGATGGGTGTTATAACCATTTTTACTCAAGAAGCAAAGAGAACGGGGTTACGACTGGAATCTGAGATCTTCTGGATGTTAGCTGAAGCCAGTACTCGCAAGTCCTCAGCGGCAGCGAGCAACGCTTAGGTATTTGGTCCAAAGGGTCTCATCAAGAAAGACAAGAAGAGCCAACCGGACACAGGATTTTGGTGAATTCTTACACCTTAGGCATGTTATGGATTAGTCGTTTGCAAGACGAAGCACAAGTGACGAAGAGATGCTGAAGTCCAGTAATTGATTTTTTGATTATATCGCACCAGAAATGGACGCAATCTACAGAGATTGAAGGAGCTACAGTTGCGCATCCAGGACAACAGCTAAAATAGCATCCGCAGTAGGGCGACACGTGATACCAACGCTTCGCAGCGATGTGACCACCAGAAGTCGAGCGTTAGCTGAATATACCGCGAAGTCGCCAGCCCCTAAGCGAAATCAGCGCCTCTCTGATGTCTGGTCATGCTGGATCTTTGCGAAAATATAGTGAATCCTTCCACTAGTCTCTAGAAAATGACCGCTAGACATGCGAAAGACATGACGCGACCAGCGCAGGCGAATCTAGTTCAATTAGCTGTTCAGTGCGACATCATAACTGGCGGATAGTATCCCTATGCGCTCCAACCAGTTGTGAGCGGCGGCACGCATGTATCGGGGATCAAAGAAGATCAATGTCGTAATACTAGGGCACAATGTGAATGTTTCTCATTCATAAACTGGTGGCGTCGCATCTGTGTAAAAGTTATCAGCTGTACGGCACACATCGTACTGACGCTTCACTGTCACGCAAACACTACCAGTTGCACGAGGTCTGGGTATACAATGAGGTCGCCAGCAACTAGGCGGATTCGAATCGGTAACCTCAGGATGCAAACGTAAGCGCGCAATTCTTTCGGCCATTGATAAAAGGGTGTGAATAAACAAAAAAATTTAAAATCTATAAAACAAGTGAGGTAACAGAATGCATGTGAAAGGCCAATTAGAGTGCACACAGTCAGTTGGCAGGGTCACAGATGGAGTACCGAGTTTGCGGCAGTCCCACGAAAGAAAGCACCTTCACCAGATGCAAAGAGTACACACGTACCTGCCAACCGCCATTAGGATCAGCTGTTATCCGACCAACAATCCGATTTGCTCCAAAAACAGGTTGTTTAATATCCACATCCTTCATATTTACGAATGGCATACTAAATGACTGAAGGCCCACAGACCCACGACTGTTCATGAACACAACCTAATTAAATGACCAGTATAGAAGGAAGACTTGCTCTGTGTGAGGTGAGATAGACCCTGCCAGAATACGAACCTTTCAGGGGAGACCCGAGCTTGAAATCGCATCCATCATAAAAGATTAATAGCCTAAAATTTAGAAATGAATAAAAAACAATCACCGTTCCCCGAAAAATAGCACGACGCCGTCCGAGCCCGGATGATGAGCTTGGTTGATAGACATCCTGGAAGAAAGAAAGGTTTATGGTTATCAAATGCAATGTGAAAATGTCTATTACTAAATGGTAACAAGTGTATCATGTAATGTATTATGCAAGCAGAAAAGTTGCACCATTACGACGCCATCTTGAGGCCATGTTGATAAACTAGACATTAAATTTTCTGTAATAAATTTAACGAGAACAGAAATTGAGTTCACTCCGTACTCCAAAGAGTCGGCATAGAAGCAGACCGTCCTTCGGAAGCACGGACACAGGAATCAAACCCAGATGCATAAAAGGCAAACGAATTACATAACCGCAAAATTCTCGAGTGAATCGCACTGACCCACAATCCACATAGCCTATTGGACCAGGCAATTGAGCCAAATGCTACGGGAGAAGTCCTTCAAGCGAACCTTCATGTACCCCACTGCTTTGTGCGCTGGGCTACAAACAAAACAATGTGTCAGCTGTACGCCGTAACGGCGCTTCGCTGTCGCGCGACCACCACCAGTCGCGCGTGGACTGTGTATACCGCGAGGACGCCCGCCCCTACATTGATTCGAACCGGAGACCTTATGATTGCAAGCCAGGCGTGCAGACTACTCGGCCACCGCCCGACAGTTAGTCTCCTCTATCGGAAGAGGCAGCCAGAAAGTATCAGTTGTCCTCTAGACTACGTCGACAATACTCTCATACCTTTCTCCAGTTTTTCTCTTCCCTCTAAACTCCTTTTCCTAGTATATTGAGCAGAAGACTGCCACTGACCTCGCAGCTGCAGCCGGTTCGTAGCATTAAGGATCACAAGCCGAACTTGTAATCTGAGGGCGCGGGTTCGGGCTACTCTAGCAGTATCCTTAGCCTATGTGCGACCGGTGGTGGCTGCGCGGCAGCGAAGCGTAGGGACTGCGTACCAACCATCGATAAATGCTGCTCGTCCATCCAAGCTATGGTCACATTTCACATTGGTTCTTCTAACGTCGGAACCCTGGGTTAGATCGGCAAACAGGTAGCACTAAGTCTCATTAATCACTCTCTTGGTGCTGATATATGTTGTCTCAGACATGCATACAAGATAATAGGGTTGTGACGAACCTTTGACTCCCTCGTTCCGAGTCTACCGACAATGACTACATTCTTCGCGTCCCTGGCGATACTAAATCAATAGCTCAAGGTTTTTACGGTGTTAGTATGGCCTCAGCAAAAATGCTGAAGGCAATTTACTCTACCGAATGCAAGTGAACGGCCGTAAATGGGAGACTCGAGGATGAACTACAATCGGAGTTAATAAGCAACGATTATTAACATCGACACTGGGTCTCCAAGCAGTATTTGGAACTTCTCGATGAACGTCGACCTTCCGGCTACAAGCAAACAAGAGTTCAGTACAGTTGAACGACTACTATCAAGCACTGAAGTGCGGTGCATCCAGTCGCCACGATTCACACCGCCAGAATAATAAATAACGATGGTAAGAAAAGGAAGTAGAACGCAAACATAGTAAAGTGGAATCAAGGCAAAACTGCGCAAAACTAAGCAGAATGGGGAAATACTGAGTAGATGGAAGAAACCGAATGCAGGTGTAATATTTGTCCGGTTCGGGGTGATAGGTTTTCCCGTATTCGTCACCAGATGTAGGCTGTAATAGACCGGAAGACGTGCAATGGAAAGCAAAGAGAGAGCGTAGGCGGCTGTATATTAACCTAGTAAGAACGAAGATCGACGAACGTATCGAGTGTGCTGGCAAGGAAATATAGGAAAGTGGTCGGATAGCTAAGATCAACCGAGCGCAGGAGCACGCGTCCGCAGTCAGGGTTACGACGGCAGGAAGGACGCTGAAGCTACGGGGGAGGTTCAAACAACATGGCGCACGGCGTTACATTGCCCCTCCTTTTAACAGGCGCCGTCCTCAGCGTCCGTGTTCCGCCTATACAGCTTTGGCTTATTAAAGTGTACTACGGTCGATGAACTTGGTACCCTTAGTCGCATAATTCTATAGGTCAAGTTGGACAGCACGTTTTTAACCACATACGGGTCTTCCCATTTCCGGCGGAAGATTGTAGGTACGCTCGATTGAGTCGGCACTGCTTTGGGCCACACTGCATCGCCCGGCCTGAAGGAGCTGCCGAAGTCTTTACGATCGAAATATGCTTTCTGGTGACGTAGGGAGTTTTGAAAATGTGATTGGGCCAACTGGTGCACTCAGACCAAAGTGGCCTGCATCTTGAGTACGTGTTCAGATGAAGTCATCGTTTCGTGGCAGGCCTTCGACAGTAAAATGTCCGACGGTAACCGTAGCTCGCGTCCCGTCATCATGAGGTGCGGGGTTTGTATTGTAAAGGATTTGACAGTGGCTCAATATGCAAGTAGGCATTTCAGTAGATTAGTGTCCCATTCACTGGTTGTCTCTTCGTCTATAAATGATTGGAATGGCGCTTTCAGCGTGCGGTTCGTGCATTCCACCAATCCGTTTTACTCAAGGTAGTATGCAGTTGTCCGCGTTTTCCGAATTCCAAATATGTGATATAGCGCTCATCAGTGTGCTCTCGAAGTTAGATCCGCGATCGGAAGGTAGCTGGTAGGGTGGGTCCCACCTTGCCACGCACTCGCTGAAGAAAGCCTTCGCCACGCTCCAAGCGTCTATGTTCTGCAGTGGAGCTGCTTCACACCACTTCGTAAAATAGTCAACGATGATTAAAGGGAAACGATGTCCTCGGGGGGTGTCTGGTAACGGGCCGATAATGTCGATACCGAGGAACTAATTGGGAAAAGCAGCGGACATGGGCTGTAGTAGTGCGCGGCGGGTTCTTGCATTGGGCGCAGTCTGAGTATGGTTCACAGTAGTTCGCCACATCGCGTCGTAAATGGGACCACCAGAATTGACGGCGAAGTGCTTTTTCCAACTTGTTCTGCCCTGCATGCCCAAACTCCTCAAGTAATCGGCGCATGACATCTTGAGTTGCTGTTGTGGTGACAATAACGCTAGGTAGGTAGGTTGGCCTATTCTGGAAATACATTATACCGTCGATCACGCGTAGGTGTGGCCATAGGGACCACAGACATTTCGTCTCCCAACTAGCGCCAGCGAGTTCGTGGCTAGTTGGTCGGTCTTCACCGCGTGCGAGTCGGTGGTACAACGGGCTTAACTCGGTAGTCTGCAACTGAATCTACTTTTCAGCTTCGGTGGTATCGAGAACAACAACAGCTAGACAAGCGGCAGTACAAGTGAAGCATGGCCCATGGTCTCGGATTGGTCTGCGAGACAGAGCGTCAGCATTAGCATGTTTCGGGACTGGACGATGGTGGTATTCAAAGTTGTACTCCTGCAGTTGGTACTGCCAACGGGGCAATTTGATCTTCGGGGTCCCGAGAGTTTTGGAGCCAAATTAATGATGGATGGTCAGTGCGTACGATAAATTTGCGGCCAAGGAGTGTCTAAAATGTTTGATGAAGAAGACTAGTGCAAGTATTTTTTCGGGTAGTGCAATATTTCCGTTTGCATTGCGATAAGCTTGGACTGGCGTGTGCGATAAGCTTCGACTGGCGTATGCGATAACTGGCTCTGAGCCGTCGGGTGTACGATGACATAGGACTGTTCCAATCCCTGTGTCGCTCGTATCAGCATCCAGAATGAATGGGCCCGCGGTTGGGCGCGTGATAAAAAATTTGAGCACGGCTGCCTGGTAAATTGCGGTTATAAGTTTCTCGAAAGCAGTTTGCTGAGCTTCTTCTAAACAAAATTTTTGCTCCGACTATAAAAGCTCAGTCAAAGGAGCGGTAATGGTCGCGAATCCGCGAACAAAACGTCGGTGGTATGGAGCAAGACCGACGAAGCTGCGGAGTTCATCCACATTCGTGAGGGCTGGCAATGAGCTAACGCACTCGACTTTATTTGGGTCATAACGCACCCCATCTTCCGAGACAATGTGTCCCAGATAGGCTACTTGCTTTTGAAAGAACTGGCATTTGGACGGTGTAGTGGGAAGGTCAAACTAGGCTTTAACTACATAAAAGACCTCCCAGTCTATAAAGTAAGAATGCTGGACCTGACCTTTGGTAAAGCATGATCCTCGGTAAGCCGTCAATTAGTCGCACGATCCGGTCGGAAGACGAAACTTAGTCGGCACAATAATTCGATGCGGTAGATCCGATGACCGAGGTAAGTAGACAGACGATCAACAGCACAACACGCGTAACCGAAACCAGAAGGCGAATCGAAACCCGTAAAAGTGTTTTATCGGTTGTTGGTCAGTGAAAAAATGTACAATAAATAATGGAAATGGGAGAAGAAACGTAAAATTGAGAAGAGAGAAATGTACAATCGCTACAGAACTCCCCACTAGAGCGTGAGTCACTGAGACGAATGCTGAATACTTGTGTCATTCATCATGGTCTGGAAGGGAGAAGAACTGTACGTCCGAAGCGTGTTTGGTGGTGCGAGTTCGAGTTTGTATCCTGAGATGTTTGGGGTGCAGGAGAGGGAACAGAGGTGTCACAAATGGGCTGAATAGGAGGCGTAGCTGGGAAGATGGGCTGGCCGGTGACAGGAATGTCCGTGGGTTTCGGTAGTGGTTGCGTCTCGATGTAAGCCGGCTTCAAGCGGTCAATACTCACCATTGAGTAACCATTACTATCCAGCATGAAGTACTTCTAATTCCGGGCAAATAACTTAAAGGGGCCCTCGTAAGATGTCAGAGGTTTACGGACGGAATCGACACGCATGAGAACTAAAGGGCAAGTGCGCAAATCCGGGTGT